TAGAGGTCTGTTTCCCAGTTACCTGGAGGAGAAACCCATAGCTTACTATCCTAATGAAGACACTGCCTACAGCAGACTTGGGGAAGTATATAATTCTCTTCACCGTTTTGTGTCTTTGGGTATTACTCTTGTCATAGTGCCATCCCTTAGCTTGAATAGCATGTGACCCTAATGATGATGCATCTTGGCAAGTTTGAAGAGGACAAGATCAAGTCACGCCTGCCTCTCTCAAATTACTAGTGATGCTATGATTTTTTTTAATTTTTTTTTTTCTTTTTTTACTTAGTTTATCAGCTGACCAGTGTTCTTGGCATTCCTACAAGTCAAATTTGATAGTGTCTTTTCCAGTTCACTCTCAAATTGCAGTCTTTGGTCTGGAGTAGGCAAAGACCAGGTGAGCCTGGCTTTGTCCATTCTGGACTGCAGCTGGAAACAGCAGAAAAGTTATTGATCAAAGTAGGAAACTAAGTGGCTGACCTGCTTAATTTCTTGCCACAGTGACTTTGCAGCTGTAACTTGACAGCCAGGTTGTGGCATGCTCTGGACTCACTCAAAAATAACGCTAATGCCATTTATTTGTGCCTCAGAATCAAAGTCTTCATCACGATACAAGAACTCGCTGATATCCCACGATTTTGTCTGTGTTTAGGATGTTTTGCCTCTTTTTATATCTTGAAACTTTAATCCACGTGTCTTAGTTTTGAGACTGAAGCATCAGCTGCATATACTTTTGGACTGTCTTATCTGTCCTAACTTGCATTACTTTATGTACTATTAACTTTTTTGTGAGCTGTTTTGTAAATTTACCTGTTTCAGTATGAACTCTTGGTGTTCTGTTGCTTTCACTGTGTATAGAATATTATATATATGCGAAGATCTATTTAAGTTTCATTGCTAATATATTAGGGACCTATTAGTGACTGGGGTTTCAGGTAATACTTCAGTTTCTCTGCATCCACAAGGTGGAGCTCCAGGGAAACGCCAGTTTGTGATTTTGTGCCTGTCAGTCTGCTGAACAACTTTCATTTTGAGTGTATGTATTTTGGTATATGGCATTTTTAATGTATAGCTTTTCTGACTGGAGTTGGGAAGAGGATTTGCAGCATAGTGCAAAAAGTCTGCTTTGGTTTTAATCAAGGATTGAGTACAATGCATGAGAAATTTCTGGCACAGGTAAGACAATCGATAGTGCTGTTCAAACACATTACAACACGTGCAAAAGTAAGTGAGGCAAGTTAAACACAGATCTGGTAAGTCTTTTGCTACTCTCCTTCAATTTATTTTCCAGTACTTTTAGATATATTTTCAGGAAATAAAACTGATAGTCTTGAGTGGTAGAACCTTTTTCAACCAAAAATCAAGTATTTAAAAAAGGTAAAGCTCTATAATCATTAATATGAGGGCAAAATCTCTTCCCTTTAGTATACTTTGTACAAGGGAGCAGGAATCACGTGGAGGTGTTTTTTTCCCCATGGTGGGAGAGTGCCAAGTACACTTCCCTCCGTTTCTGTTCTCAATGGGCTGTTGATGCTCAGAGCCTCTGCCTTGTCCCACATTGCGTTGTGGCTGTGAAGTAAAGGAGTGGTCATGCTAGACAAATATATAGGGAATTGGGAAACACCCTCAGGAAGACCAGCAAAATGGGAGTGGTGGCATCAGTGCTGAGTGATGAGAGGTCATTTCAAATTACATGTGTAATGTGTATAACTTTTTCGCGTGTAATTAAACAAGTATGTAGTAACAGGGCTCAGTGAGTGAGAGGACGAAGGAATTTTTCAAGCCTCTTTGTAAAGTGTATGCAAACAGGATACTGTATTGCTCTTCAACAGTCTCCATTGCTTCAAAGATCAAAAGGAACTACACTGGTAAACTAGCACAGGTCATGGCCGATATGCTTGACGGTCAGAAGGAAATCGTTGTGCTCTTGTTTTCATCTTTATTAACAGTATAAAAGGACTTCTGTTTGCTTTTCAGCAACTTACCAATCATATTCGGGATACCCTGCCAGCCTTCAGAAGCAAACTCCAGAGCCAGCTGCTTTCTATAGAGCACGAAGTAGAGGTATACAAAAACTTCAGACCAGAAGATCCAACCAGAAAAACAAAAGCCCTGTTGCAGTGAGTGTCTAGTCTTTTGTGTGCTTTCCCACTTTGTATAGGTTTGTTTTGCTTTTTTTTTATTATTTGTAATGGGTTTAAATTTAAAGATTAGGATACGGTTAAGGATTCTATATACAAACTCTAAAGAATTCTGTGATTGATGTGCCAGAACACTTTATTTACTCTACAATTTCAGCAGAGTTTTCCCTAAATTAATTTTAGTAATCCCAGAAAAGAGAGAAAGCAGAACAGGAAAAGGTACAAAGATGGGCAACATAGATGATCAAAGGTAAGAAACTGCCTCTGATTGTATAGACACATTCTTCAGCCTGCCAAAAAGATGACCTCAAGCAAGGGGAGGAGGTTGTGTTAGAAGTTTGCAAGATGAGGAGTCTGAAAGGAGAATAGGGAATGCTTCTTTTTCCAATATAAAAACTTGGCTATCCAAAAGAACTCAAAGATGGCAATATCAAAATTAATCATAGATGTCAGTCCTTCATGTGATGTGCACCTAAGCCACAGAGCTCTTTGCTGCAGGAGCTGATACTAAAAATTTGTGTGCTTTCAGAAAGCAGCTAGGCAAATTCTTGGGATGGGG